ACAAAATGCGGCTTCTTAAACCTTTTACTTTATTTGTGAGATACACTTGCAATGCACAACTTTTTGAAGTTTAAATCTTAGAAACATGCATATTATGCATTTATTATTTTTAAGGATTTTAGTTACACTAGCGCCCATGCAAGTTTGGAATCTACAGATAATAGATGTAGAAATTTGCTAAGTTGTAGTAGAGCTAATCCAAAGCAGCCTTCCAAACCAACCATCTAGCTCTTACCCCAAACTTTCTAGCTTTTGGCACCAACTCAAGCTTGGTGTTCTGTACTTAAAGTTAAATTCAGCTAGAATCCTGGATGTGGTCAAGTTTTGTAAACAAATTGATATGATGATTTGAGTTATTGAATAGGAGGGTTTGTTTGTGGGTTTGCATATGCATGTTTTTTGCTTATTCAAGATGGGGGGTGGGGTGATATGGATAGAAGGATGATCTTATAAGAAAGAAAGAAAATGTAAGGTAGTGATGAGACGAATGAAGTGTGGGAGGGTTGAGCCCTATACTTTGGAGTGTGCTGAGATACTGATTAATTTTCTAAGATAAAGCAAAGCTTATTAGCAGGTCATAATGTTAATCTTTAGATTGGGTAGCTGAAGCTAGTTTCAACTAGGATATAGTCTTAACCTTTTGAGATCCATCAATCCACTGGTGACTTGGTTTAAATTTCCACTAAGCTTATGTGGTTCAAGATTGATGAAAATGCGGTCATGAAACCACAAAGCTTGCTATTTTGGAGGGCCCAAACACTTGGATTTCCTTTTGCTCCTTTGAAGGCTTCTTTGAGCTTAATTTGAGGCTTGTGCCCAATTCATAGGCATCATCGATACCAATTGAACTTAATAGACAAATTGGCTAGACTCAAAGAACATGCAAGATAGCATTTAAAGATCCTGGCGAACCTTATCAAAATTAAATGACATGCATGAAATCAATCGCAGGAACGATGTATGGATTGATGATTTTTTGGTATCTTTATTATGACGATCATTTGCATCGATCCTTGGCATTATAATTCTCATACAAATTCTGTGTATGCCTTGCGAGTTGGATTTGTTTGTGTCGTAAAAGCCTTCTCTAGCTTCCTACTAAAAGAATTGGGTTAGTCTTCTCTATGTTCAGGTATTAATTTAATGATCTCTCAGTGTTTTTAATTTTAAAACTTAGTAGAGAAATAAATTAGGATAAGGACTTCTATCACTTAGGCTAGAATCTTTTCTATAGATATCCTAATCCTTTCGGATGTGGGAAATCTATGGTCTGGAGATGGGCATTAAAGGCTTTCTTAAGCTTAATTTGAGTTTTGGGCCCTTGTAGGTGGCTCCATCTATGCCAATTGAACTTAATTGACAGATTGGCTTGACTCAAAGAATTTGATGCATCGTAGTGGTTCAAAGTTTCATTCTGTCATAAGGTGAGATTGGCGTGACTCTTGCTGGCCAATTTGCCCTCTCTGAGATCAGTTGGACTTGGAAAAGATTTAATTAAGTTGAGCAGAATCATACTTGGGACATTGTTGATCTTCCTCGGGGCAAGAAAACCGTGAGATGCTAGTGGATTTTTAGCATTAAGTTTAAATATGATGGATCCTTTGAACGCAACAAGACACGGTTGGTCGCTAAAGAAGGGTCACATACCTATGGAGTTGACTATGATGAGACATTTGCTCAATTTGCTAAATTAAACACCATTCGGGTCCTCTTATCTCTTGTAATGAATTTGAATTGGCCCTTATTCCGACTTGATGTCAAGAATGTGTTCCTAAATGGCAATCTTGGAGAGGAGATATATATGACTCTTCCTCCAGGCTTTGACTCCAATACCTCCCAGGGGCAAGTATATAGTTTGCGAAAATCCCTCTATAGATTGAAGCAATCACCACGGATATGGTTCGGGAAATTCACGAAGGTGGTGGTAAGCCATGGATTTGTGTTATGAGAGTTTATGTACGCTCATTTGTCATTACACCAGTTGGCTCTTAGAGCTGACCCAACGAAGACTAACTAACCCAAAGAACACCACGCGCCCGCACTGACGTCTACGAACCCAATGTTTGCCATTGGAAAAAGTCAACAACTGCTTGGAGGGAATCCCTTTTATAGATTCATTGACCAAAGGAAGGCTGGCCATAAGGTTACGGTAATCAACCTTCTGTCTAGTGGAATAATTTTTTCCAAGGATGATGAGTCTTCACAATGAGTTCTCTTGAAGAAGGCAGCCGAAGTTCGTTCAGCCAGCTGAATAACTTATGGTCGACCGAATGAATGCAGAGTGATCAAATTTGACAGTTACATATATAGAACGATGTCAATGGTTGTACAAATATGGAACGACGCCAACAACAATTAAAGTGTCAAAATATGTCAGATTCGGTTACAAATATGTAAATGTGTTACGGCTCATAAATTATTGTAACGCCTCCATTAAAGGTGACAATCATGTAATTTGACAAACCCTACCTATAATTTATAAATAGGGGAGTCCTTTTCATTAAAAGGGGACTTGCACAATTTCCTAAAAAATCTGGGTGTTGCTTCTCTTATCTCTTTTTTTTTTCTTCGACTAACACTCTGTTCCTTAGGGGTGATCGACATGACAATTTGGGATCCAATAAATAAATATATATATATATATATATATATATATA